TATTTTCTCTTCTCAGGTATGACCTCAGCAGATTTCTTCTCCCATCTGAGAATCTGAGTCATTCCTTAGAGTTTGTATCTGAGTAAAGGTTTTATAATCCTATTTGAGGAGGATATCAGGCACCAAGTGCTAGTTGGCCAAGTGCTTTCAGACTCCAAGTGTGTATTATTTGTACAACACACATAGTACTTTACCTTCATAGAGCTCTTCATCATACACAAAACACAGAAAAACCTATGGACTCATACATTAGATACGTTAAGTATCAACACCTCCATCTCATAAAAGTAAAATGAAAGCTCAGAGGGATAAAGGCCCCATCACAAAGCTGGAAGGCGGGATACTTGGGACAATAAACCCTGTTGGATTTGTTTGGTGAGTTTTTTCGCCACCACATCAGAGCAGACAAAATGTTTCCAATCTCCAAGACCATCTTGGTTCACCAGACAAAAGACAAATTCACTGAAATCATTTCCTGCCTACTCCAGTTTGGGAACTTCAGTCCAGAACTAAACACAGTTCAACCATGGTAACGCCCTTACTCATCCATTCCTCAAAACAAAGAACATTTCACACATCCGTTGATGAGTTAAATGTTAGCCAGACCCTCAGAGTGGGTTGACTCCCACACCAGGGGACAGAAACAAGTGTGGTATCTGAGGATACTTTCAAACCCAACTTTAAAACTTTGCATTTGCCACATCCAAGAAGACAACTTCTTAACAAAGAGAATAACCAATAGTTCACTAAAGTCAAGTCTGGCCCTGAATGTATTAACCGGTGATGTCTGGGGGAAACCCTTGGTTCCCCCTTCATTGTAGGCCTCAGAAATATTTACTTTGCTTAATGGTCACTCCAGGGCTGCCTCAGTCAGATCGACTCTCGTTAACTCTTTCTCATCCTCTTCTCTTCAGGTTAAAAACACATTGGAGGTTTCTGACACAGTCATTTTTCCTTATGGTAATTTTCGTTTTACCAGCTGTCTGTGTGGTGTTAGTACAAGAAGATTCTTCTGGGAGATAGAAGCACCTGGTAAGTGAAGAAATTTCCTGCTGAGCATTCATGTCAGAGAAGGGGAAATGTGAAGACAGGGCAAACTGTCAAGGTGGAGCTGAGACATGGCAGAAAGCAAAAGGAATAAGGTATTGGAGTAAGAAGCAAACACAAGACGTAGAGGCAGTGTGGGCAGTGATTTGATGTGGTAGGCGGGAGAGGCTCCTAACAGCTGTGAGCCTGAGAAACGGGGCTGAGCATCAGACACTGTAAAAGGCAGGATAGGATGGCTTGCATGTGGAGTCCAGTTGCCTGACACAGCTTTGCTTCTTCTCTCCAGAAAATGGGATCATAACAGGGAAGGCTCAAGTTGTGTCAGAGGAGAATATATGCCCTCCTGGTGTGAATATCTCCACCCCTGTTTATGAAATTGTTATCACACGTGATGTCATTATAACACTCTGATCTGGAAAATCTGTCATTTCTGAGTTGGCGGGCATCTGTGTAGACTGGAAAATAAACTTCCTACTGACTTCTCACTGTCCTATCTGTGTTCTTTCCCCAAAACTCAGTACTGTATCTACTCAGACATCCCCCGGTCCTAAGGAACCAATATTTTTAAGAAAACTTCTCAGGTATGATACGTGAGTATCCACTCCCTAGCCAATGATGAGAAAAAGAAGATAGGAACTATTCTCACCATCTAACTCAGGAGAGGAAATGTCCAGAAAGAGAGAATTGTCCCTAGTGATACAATTAAGGACAGAACTGACCAACGGTTCTAAGTTTCCCTTCTATTTCAGTCCAGGTGCATCCATCTGTCTCTCCCACTTATCTGAAAGTTCAACGAATCTGAAGCCCTAAATTATTACATCTTGCTTCTCTTCAACTGGTAGCAAGGAAAAGACTCACACGAGCTCACATGAGCTGGGTTCCTATGCAAATGTACCATCTCTGTGCCCAGGTTCTTTCATCACAGTAAGGCAAAACTCAGAAATCGAGGAGATACAAGCAGGGATTGCAGGGTTATGGGGAACTAGTCAGAGTTCCAAGTGGGAGTTCGTAACAGGTGCAGCAGCCATCTGGAGAACTACTAGTACTTAAATTATTTATGTACCTACCTTCTGACCCAGCACTTCCACAACCAGAAATGACAGTAAGAAAGACCTTTTTTTGATTTGTGGGCTTTGAGGCCAATCTATTTTAGCTGTCATAGAAAAAGAACCACAGAAAGGCCATTGTTTTAGACTACATGCTGCATCTTGAAGGGCATCACCATACCCCTAAAGAGTGTGACTCCCGAGTAATGTCCTTACTGCTTATGTACGAGCTTTGGGTAGCACACCATAGCGTCAAGAGTTTCCTGATAACGAAAGTAATGAAAAATCAATACATATCTTGATCATGTGCCTGTAGTGGAAACTCTTTCATTTAAAAGAAAAAGGATTCCATTGGTCTAAGGAGATATTAGATGGGTCTAGTAATCAGATACTGCAGGCAGGAAAGAGATCCATACCTAGAACATATATCAGTGTCAGTTGAGACAAAATACTGCCCTCTCGGGAATCAAAAGGAACCTGTGATCATTATTCTCTCGAATGGTCTCCTTGAGAAATGGTACATTATTGAGGCCGCAGAACTAGTCTTTGTTATTGAAAGGCCACCAGCTGCAACATCTAAGCTGTGTATGGGAAGAAGTACATTTTTTGGTGTTTTAACATATAATTTATTTATTGACGTATAGTTGATTTATAATATCATGTAAAGTTTAGATGTACAGCACAACAGTTCAGTTTTATATATACATATTTTTTCAGATTCTTTTACCTATAAAGGTAAGATTAATATTATTAAGTAATAATAATATTAATTAATATTAACCTAATATTAGGTACAGTTCCCTGTATGATTTTAGCATATACTTTAACACCTCAGGGCATAAGTCAAGTGCAGTGATAGAAGTGTCTATTTCATATCAGCCACCACCATTTTAGCCATCACATAAGGACTTGTGTAGCAGAGGACAGGAGCTGCTGACACCCTTAGAACCACTCATCCCGCCCTCTAATTGTTCAATGCCTCCTCTGCGTTGCATACTTTCTTATAAGCACTTCCATGAGACGCCAAGAACCAAACGTTCTGTTCAAAGGTATTGGTTCTTTCAGATGGCTCTTCTCCAGAACTTCTGTGTTGAATATGCTAACCTTGTTCCTACAATGCTCCAGACCAACAAGCCAAGAAATATGCCACTCCCCTGGAGTCCATGTATATCTTTACCTCAAGACACTTTTCCAACCTCATAGAACTGATGACCAGGTATATTGCTTGTAGCTCTGCCCACTAAGATTATTTCCCCCACCTGTGTTTTTCTATTGCATACCTGCGTGAAGTTTTAGTTTGGCAATGATCCATCTTTAGTTCACAAAAACATATTGAGCCAACAAATCTGTGAGTCACATGAGGTTGATTTCCTCCAAAATCTAAACAAAGGACCTCCCTAACCCATGAGGCTGTAGGCACAATCTGAAGACAAGAAAGTGGGGGCTGGTATCAGTGCAGCCAGAGTAGGTGACGTAGGGTATGAACCATGTTCTTCTGTACCACAGGCCCTTTGGACCTAGTTGGGTTCACACTTAACTGTGGTATTTCCATTGTGTGAGGACTGCTGCTATATCCACTCAAATATATTATTTCTGGGTCTACTAATGCCTGTGTCATAATGAGGAACTCTATTCTCTTGATGTTTCATTGTCAGAAATTGCATCTATTTAGTGCCCAAAAGAACCTTTAAAAAAATTAGTTTTCTGCTGCAGAGAGAATAGACTTACTCCAGAATCCTGTTGGTCTAGTCCGCGACTCTCAGCCTGCGGCTAACCAGAGAGTACAGTCAGCGATCTTAATCTACCATGGATCTCTGTAGCACCATAGGATCTGCCAAGTGACACAGCCAAAAATAAAGCATTCATGTTAGCTCAGAGTGCCATAACAAAATACGACAGACTGAGTGACTTAAACAACAGAAATCTATTTTCTCACAATTCTGGAAGCTAGAAGCCTGAGATCAGGATGCCACCACAACTAGGTTCTAGGGAGGGCCCTCTTCCTTGCTTACATGCAGCCACCTACGCACCGTGTCCTCACATGGGGTAAAGAGAGCAATGGCGTCTCTTCCTCAGCTTATAATGGCACCACTTCTGAGTTCCACCATAATGACCCCATTTAACCAGAATCACCTCGTTAAAGGCCCCAAGATGGTCACTTAACGGGAGGGGAAGGAGGGCATCAACATATTAATTTGCAAGAAATACAATTCAGTCATAACAAGACTGTTCATGCGAAAGTTTGAACCTGCTATAGAACTCCTTTTATCCTCTGGATACCACTCAAAACCAGCATCCTTTGGAGTCACCCAATGATGTCACTTTATCATTCCTAGTTTAGTAAACTCTGCCTGCAAAGTCCAAGGGCTTACAAGAAGGGTGCCATGTTTTCAGTGGTAAGTTGTTCAAGATTCAATAAATATCTCCACTTGGAAAATGTATTGCAACAAGCCCTAGACCACTAAACATCTAAAAAACTGATGTGGCATCCCCCTAAGTATTTGTATTTTTAGGGACAGTTTGAAATACAAACTATTTTGTATTTCAAACTATCCCTAAAAATTGAAGAGGAAGAAATACTTCCAAATTATTCTGTGAAACCAGCATTTGTTGTTGTTCAGTAGCTCAATCAGGTCCAACTCTTTGTGACCCCATAAACTGCAGCATGCCAGGCTTCCCTGTCCTTCAGTATCTCCCAGAGTTTAAACAGCTCCATTCCTGTCCATTATGTCAGTGATGCCATCCAACCATCTCATCTTCTGTTGCCCCATTCTCTTGCCATCAATCTTCCCCAGAATCAGAGTCTTTTCCAATGAGTTGATTCTTCGCATCAGGTGGCCAAAGTATTGGAGCTTCAGTTTCAGTATCAGTGTTTCCAGTGAAAATTCAGGGTTGATTTCCTCTAGAATTGACTAGTTTGAACTCCTTGCTGTCCAAGGGACTCAAGAGTTTTCTCCAGCACCACAGTTCAAAAATATCAACTTTTTGCCACTCAACCTTCTTCATGGCCCATAGACAATACTGCATAAAATACAAATGAAGACATGAAAGCAACCTTCCCTAGTCTTGCTCTACCCTTAAGTCATCTCAAGGTTCTGCTTAGCTGCAGCACTCTAGTTCTCTGGGGTACTCCTCAGAGGTAAGGGTGCAGTACTCTAGCGGTCCCAGTTCACTCACTCTTGGACTTAACCTCCACATCTGACGCAAGAACCCTCAACTGTTCCCTGGTTCTCCCTTTTGCATGATAGGTATGGAAGTGCATGAGCTCCCTAGTCACCCAAACTCTCTAAGTGGTTTTGCAGATACCAACCAGAGATGATCACAAAGGTCCTCCAAAGATGGGATCTGTCATCTGTCCCCACAACTGAATTTCTTGCAAGTAGAAGCAGGCTGAAAAGTAACCAAAGCCAGGGAAATAGAGAGCTGGGATGATAGGACTTTTTCTGAGAAGCTTCAGGAGAGCAGCTTCCACACATGGAGTGTGAATCCAAGGCTCCTAAAGGAACCAATCCATACATAGAAAGGTGACTGAATACAGCTTCTTGCTTTTTGGTAGTGCCATAAGGAATACATGCCGTGTATGTCTTGCCTCTTCTAATCTGATCTGACTTCTTCCTATGTCCATGGACTGAATGCTCTTTAAACACACTCTACACACTTTGGGACCACCACTTATTAGAGATGATTCTCTGAACCAAAAATGTAAATCAGAGAAGGTATGATTAGGCACATTAGCGTCAAGGCATCCATTCTATTCATACAATCTAAAATTCCACATCTAAAATCTACAGCAAATTTTAGAGTTGAGGCATTGAGAGGAAGATAAGACATTTGTCATTCAGAGGACAAAGACACAGGACACTTCAGGGATCATACAAACTCAGAGCAGGCGTTAGGAAGTAGTGCTTAGTAAAGGAAAGAAACATGCTTAGAGCAGTTACGACAGGATCTATCCTAAGGATCCGGGAACATTCTAATGTTGGGAAAAAAACAAATGGTAATGGTGCAACTCCTTCCTTCCTCTCTCTCTCCTCAACTTAAAGTTCTGACTACTTGTGAATGGGTAAATGAGCTCAGGCACAGCAAAAAAAGAAGTTCCGGACAAACACTGACCTTTCTCAAAAAAAAAAAAAGAAAGAAAACAACTAAGGTAGCAAAAAGGAAATCGCTCAGATCTGATGATGTTGGCCAAGTGAACTTGACCCAATAGCTCCAGGGTCTTCCTGCTAGAGTTATAAGAGCTGTCCTGGCTCCCTGAGGACACAGTCCTCCTGAGCTTCAAATTCTTCCAGCATGCATGCCCTTCAGTTTCTGTTCAAGACCAGCCCTGCTGTCCTGCTCCTCCTTCTCTGCCTGAGACTTGGGTCTGGCGCAGCTCAAGACCTAGTGTAAGTCGTGTATTTTTCTTCCCTGCAGAAAATCTTCCAGGGGAGGACAATTTTGCCAACCCAGAACTCATTCTCTCCCTGCTCAGAAACTGCTGGGAGAGGTTACCGAATCCATGACTTACAGCTCTTTTGTGTTTTAAATCTGTCTTCTATCCTTTTATCATTCTCTCCTTTTGCCATGAAAGAGAAACATAGTTGGCAATGTGACTGCGGTCAATAGCTATGGTGTAAACTTTGCATAAGGTGCCTGAGCTATACAAGAGAGGCCAAGGCCCTGCTCACTGCCCAGAAGACAGGGCTGTGCTGATCCACCAACTCAGGTGATCCCTGCGCTTCATGGGCATCTGTGCTCACCTCAGGTATTGTCATACAAAGGAGATCCTTAGGCATTGGTGCCTCTGTATCCCTGTTAGCCCCCTGCTCTCTCTGCCTCTCCTGCTTGCATATTCCCTCCCAGGCTACCTCAATCCAAGACTTTTATCTGACCTTTTTTCTGCCTCTTTTTTATATGTAGACAGGAGGTGATTTCAGCAAAACTGACAATTGATCCAGTGGAAGACTCAACTAACTATTACGATGTAACAGTCACAGTTAAAAGTCACCTGGCCAAATGCTTAGTGGTAAGTGAAGCTTTGGGGGTCATGGTGAGAGGGGAGAGAGATGAGAAATATCCTCATAAATGATTTCAATCCGCACTATTGATTTGAAGTGAAACATCATCTTACAAAGTCACCTACAAATGCTTTTGCATGCATTAGCCGTGAACTTCAGAGCAACTCTCTTAGGAAAGTGTGTATTCTTATTTCCATTTTTAAAATGAAAAAGTGATGGTACAGATGGAATAGTCGAATTCATAAGTTCTGAAAGTACATTGGTAGCTTACAGGGCCAAGGTGTATGGGAGTGGGGATGTTAGTGTTTAGTGGGGACGGAGTTTCAGTTTAGGAAGCTGAAAAATCTGGGAAATGGGTGATAGCCTGCGTTGCACAACAATGTGAATGGACTTCGTGCCACTTAACTGTGCAGCTCAATATGGTAAAAATGTTGTTTTTTATTGTCATTTTTACCACAAAAAAAGAAAAAGCACTAAAAAACAAAGAAGAATGTGACGGTAGGCAGAGGATAAATGAGAAGAGGCTTTCCACCATGTCAGGACTCTTATATTCCCCAGGGGAGAAGCAAGGAGGAGAGAGAAAAGCAGTAAGAATAGGGATAAAAACCAAGATGAATAAGACTGGGTGACAATGGTTAAGCAGCGTTGCTGGCCCTGAGCCATCCACGCCCCTGCCACCATCCTGTGCCGTGGGGAGGCTGAGTCACGGAGACTCCACTCAACAGGCCACGGCAGATGGGAGAGAAGCTGCAAGGATGGGGTGATTATGGTCTCCCTCACCGATGGGAGACTTCCTGTCAGACCAGGACTGGCTTTCCAGCCTCTTACCTCCATCACCTCTCCTCACTGCCTTCACTGAGCCTTCAGATCCCCTAGACCACCGGCTTCTTCGTATTTGACAGCAATCATCAACTCCTTAGAGGTCTCAGTGAGGTTTTTAGAAAACAATGCAAACAGTAGGGAAAGCTACCAAAACCCCTAAGAGAAATACATGCGGTATCTAATTATTTACTCAAGTATAAATGATGCTAGAAACGCCTTTGAGCTTCCCCTTTCCAAACATCTTCTCTGTTGCCATTTCAGGAAGGTCCTGGGACTTTCTCTTCTCAGGTCTGACCTCAGTAGATGTCTTCTCCCATCTGGAATCTCAGTCATTCCTTTCCTCTTGTATCCGAGTAAAAGTTTTATAACTGTATTGGGTAAGGCAAACACATACTGAGTACCAGTTGGCCAAGTGCTTTCAGGTTCCAGGTGTCTTTATTTGTATAATACACATAGTACTTTACCTTCATAAAGAGCTTTATCATACACAAAAAGCAAAAACTTATGAACTCATACCGACTAGATAGCTAGATTTCATACCTTGATTTCACAAAGGTAGAATGAGAAGCTCAGAGTAAAAATGCCAAGTCACAAAGCCGGAAACCAGCTCAGTAGGGACAATGAGCTCTGTTTTGTTTATTCAGTGGGTTTATTCCCCACCACATCGGAGCAGACTGCTTTTTACCATCTCGATGACACTCTAAATTAAGTTCAACCATACATGTGTGAAGGGCTGATGTCTAGGGGAAACCTCTGGTGCCCTCTTCCTGTGTTGACTTAAAACATGCTTATTCTGCTTAATGGTCACTCCCCAGCTTCCTCAGCCGAATCCACGCTTTTTACCTTTTTCATCCTCTCCTCCTCAGGTTAGAGTCACGCTCGAGGCCTTCAACAACATCATTTTTCCTTATGGTAATTTTATTTACACAGCCTGTCTATGTGATTTCAGTACAAGAAACTTCTTTTGGGAAATACAAGCATCAGGTATGTGCAGAGACTTCCTGCCTGAGTGCTAATGTCAGATAAGGGGAAGTGTTATGTGAGGGCAAAGGGCAAAGTTTAAAGGGAAACCAAGACATGGCAGAAAGCAAAATGAATAAATTATTGGAGGAAGATGAAACTCATCACATAGAGGCAGTGTGGGCAAGGGGTTCAAGGTGGAGGAAGGGAGAGGGGCTGGTAACATCTTTGTCTTGTATAGAAGCCTGAGAAATGGGGCCGAGTGTCAGACACAGTAAAAGGCAGGATACGATGTTTTGTGGGTGGGTCTGGTGTAAGAAGACCAGTAGTGGAATCCAGCTGTCTGACACAACATTGCTTTTTCTCTCCAGAAAATGGGATCATAAAAGGGAAAGCTGAAGTTGTATCAGAAGAGAATATATGCCCTTCTGATGAGGAAATCTACACCATTGTTTACAAAGTTTGTATCAAGCGTAAAATCATCATAAGATTCTGATCTCAAAAGTCTGCTGAGTTTGTGGGCAGCTATGTGGACTGGAAAATAGAATTCCTATGGGCTTCTCACTGTCTTGCCTGTGTTCTCTCCCCCAAATTAGTACTGTGTCTGCTCAGACACCCCAGGGTCCTCATGAACCAGTATGTTAAGAGGACTTCTCAGGGATGATACATGAGCATCCACTTCCTAGCAATTGAGAAGAAAGAGAAGACGGGAACTATCCTCACCATTTAACACAGTGGCGAACATGTCCAGAGAGAGCTGTCCCCGGGGCTAAGATTAAGGGTAGAACTGAGCAAAGGTTCTAAGCAGCAGTCCCCAGTCAGTTTAAACCAGGAACCGGTTTTATGGAAGACAATTTTTCCATGGGCCAGGGGTTTGTGGCAGGGGGAGGTGAGAGAGAGTTTCGGGATGATTCAAGTGCATTATGTTTATTGGCAATTTATTTCTATTTTTATATCATCAGCTCCACCTCAGATCATCAGGCATTAGATCCCAGAGGTTGGGACCCCTGGATTAAGTTTCCTTCCTCTTTCAGTCCAGTTACATGCAGCTGCCCCTCCCAGTTATCTGCAAGTTCAATGAACCTGAAGTCCTAAATTATTACATCTTGCTCCTCTTGAACTAGCAAGGAAAAGATTAGCAGGAGCTCAGGTGTGCTGGGCTCTTGACCAGGATGTTCCTTCCTTAAGCCTAAGCTCTTTCATCACAATAAGGCAAAACTCAGTCGGCAAGGAGATACCTATTGTGAGTGGAGATTGAGGAGTTATGGGGACCATTCATTGCTGCTACTAATGGGCATGTATAAATAGGTACAGCCATCCAGAGAATCACCTGATGTAACTTAAATTAATTGTGTACATACCTTCAGACCCAGAACTTCCACAACCAGCAGTGATGGTAAGAGAGACAATTTTGATTCCTGGGATCCAGGGCCAATCTACTCTAGCTATCAAAGACAAAGGGCCACTGAAGAGCCACTGTTTTAAAAGAGAGGCACATCTTGAAGAATATTTTGTGATCCCATGCACTGTAGTCCCCTCTGGCTCCTCTCTCCATGGGATTTTTCAGGCAAGAATACTAGAGTGAGTTGCCAATTCCTTCTCCAGGGGACCTTCCTGACCCAGGGATCAAGCCTGGGTCTCCTGCATTGCAGGTGGATTCTTTACCAACTGAGCCACCAGGAAAGCCCTCATAATTACAGCTCGTGAAGAACATCACCATATCCCTAAACAGTGTGATTCCAAAGTCATTTCCTTAGCAGCTCATGTCTGTGCTTTTCCTGGCATGCCACATCAGTAGTTTTCACATAATGCGAATGAGACTCAGTATATACCTTGATCATGGTATTCCCATTGAAACAAACCTTTCACTTAAAAAAATTATTCTATTGATATAAGGAGATGTTAGATGGACCTAGAAATCAGATACTCTGTGAGCTCTCAGATAGTGGTGCTGAATAAACACTGCAGGCAGGAAAAAGTTCCATACCTAGAATATGCATCTATTTCAGTACAGACAAGATGAGTGCATGAATGCTAAGTCACTTCAATGTGTCCAGCTCTTTGAGATCCTACAAAGATACTGCCCCCTCAAGAGTCTAAAGGATCCAGTGTAATCATTATTCTATGAAATTGTCTCCTTGAGAGATGATACATTATTGAGGTCTCAGTATTAGTTTTTGTTGTTGAAAGGCCAGCACCTGCAACATCAAAATCACTTATGGGAAGAAATGAATTTTTTACAATTTTACCAAATACTTTATTTTTAAAGTATTTTTTAGTATTAGCTGCTCTGAGTCTTAGCTGCGACACACAGAATCTTAGATCCTCATTGTGGTACATGGGATCTTTGGTTGCAGCATGAGAACTCTGTGTTGTATATGGGATCAACTTCCTTGAGCACAGATCGAACCTGGGCCCTCTTAACCATTGAACCACCATGGAGTCCCTGCTGCTGCTGTTGATGCTGCTGAGTCGCTTCAGTCGTGTCCTACTCTGTGTGACCCCAAAGACAGCAGCCCACCAGGCTCCTCTGTCCCTGGGATTCTCCAGGCAAGAATACTGGGGTGGGTTGCCATTTCCTTCTCCAATGCATGCATGCATGCTAAGTCGCTTCAGTCATGTCCAACTCTGTGTGACCCCATCGACAGCACCCCACCAGGCTCCTCTGTCCCTGGGATTCTCCAGGCAAGAATACTGGAGTGGGTTGCCATTTCCTTCTCTGAGGGAGGTCCCTAGCATATATTTTATTTTATGGAAGTATATTTGATTTGCAATAAGTTTCAGGCACAAACCACAGGAATTCAGCTATATAAATATGTATATTTATATTTATTCAGATTCTTTTCCCTTATAGGTTATACTGTGCTATTTCCAACTTATGAAGGATGGCTGCTGTAGCCACTCAAATATATAATTTTTGGGTCTGCCTATGTCTAAGTAATAATGCAGAACTCTGGTCTCTTTGTGTTTCACAGTCAGGAATTGGGTCTCCATGGTGCTCAAATGCACCTTTTAAAAAATTAGTTTTCTCCTGCAGAGAGTATAGATTTATTCCAGAATCCTGCTGGTCTACCCTGCCACACTCTGGTGAGACTTAACAGAGTCGACACTCAGAGTCCATCATCTACCATGAATCTGTGTAGCACCATAGGATCTCCCAAATGATGTGGCCACAATAAAGGATTTATATCAGCTCAGATTGCTGTAACAAAATGCCTTAGACGGAGTGGCTTAAGCAACAGAGTTTTATTTTCTCATTGTTCTGGAGGCCAGTAGTCTGAGATCAGGATGCCAGCATGACCAGGTTCTAGGGAGGGCTTTCTTGCTGGCTTGCATACAGCCACCTTCTCACTGTATCCTGGTACAGGGAAAAGACAGTAATGGTGCCTTTTCCTCATCTTATAGTGGCACCAGTTCTAGGAGCTCCACTCTTAAGACCTAATTTAACCTGATTCACCTCTTTAAAGGCCCTAATAGACTCACTTGAGGAAGGGGAGGCAGAGCAACAAAAAATAATTTCAGGAAACATAATTCAGACTCAGCAAGACTGCACACACCAAAGTTTGAACCTGTTATAGAATCCCTTTATTGCTCTGGATACCACTCAAAACTGGCATCTTTTTGAGTCATCCAATGATGATTTGTCAGTCCCCAAATTAGTAAACTCTACCTCCAACTCTAAGGTCTTCCAAGAATGGTGCCATTTTTTCAGTGGTAAGTTGTTCAAGGTTCAATAACTATCTTAACCTTAGAAAAGAGCTTCCCAGGTAGTGCTAGTGGTAAAGAACCTGCCTGCCAATGTAGCAGATGCAAGAGACAAGGGTCTGATTCCTGGATTGGGAAGATCGCCTAGAGGAGGGCTTGGCAACCCACAGTATTCTTTTTTTTTTAATCTACTTTATTGTGACATTATTTACATAACATAAAATACAATGGGTTTCCCAGGTGACACTAGTTGTAGAGAACCCGCTTGCAAATGCTGGAGACATGACCCTTGGTGGGTGGGGGGGGGGGGGCCCTGGGTCAGGAAGATCACCTGGAGGCGGGCATGGCAACCCACTCCAGTGTTTTTGCCTGGAAATCCCATGAACAGAGGAGCCTGGTGGGCTACAGTCCATAATGTTGCAAAAAGTTGGCCTTGACTGAAACAGCTTTGCATGCATGCAGGCACAAAATACAATAATTTAAAGTATATGGATAACCAGCAAGGACCTACTGCATCACACATGGAACTCTGCTCAATGTTACGTGGCAACTTGGATGAGAGGGGAGTTTAGGGGAGAATGGATACATGTATATGTATGCCTGAGGCCCTTCACTGCTCACCTAAAACTATTACAATATTGTCAATCGGCTATAACCCAATACAAAAAATTTTTTTTAAAATATAAAATATATGATAAAAAATAAAAAATATTTGCCAATTGTCTACTTAAAGGAATAAAGAATACAGTTCAAGTTTTGATAAATAGCTATAATTACTAATAAAATCATGATGAATATTTTATCAGCACAAAAGATTTAATCATTCCATTTTTCATCCAATATCCTCCTCATCCTCAAACCCCAGATAACAACTGATCAACTTTTGTTCACTGTATATTGATTTGTCTTATCTAAAACTTCATAAAAATTGAAATGAGCACTACGGACTGTTCTGTCTCTAGCTCCTTTATTTAGCATATATGTTTTTGAGATTCATACATGTTTTTTACTTTTTTTCTCCACACCAAAGCTGACAGAATTTACTGCTAGTAGACCTGAGCTATAAGAAATATCAACTTGAGTCAAAGAGAACAATATTTTTTTTCCTCAGACACATAGAAGATCCAAAGGAATGTATTAAAGCATAGTAGAACTAGTAAGTCATTTTAGCAAAATTTCTAAAATACACAGGACAAAATACTAAAGTATCTGTTGCTCCATACTAGAAATAAGCAATTGGAATATTAAATTTCAAAACACCATACTATTTGGAATTTCATTATGAAATTTCATATCAGTTGTATTTATAGTAGTAAAAATGGGAAATAATACATAGGTACATGGAGAGATGAACAGACTTTTAGAAATGTGGCATATTTATACAATGGAAAACTACTCAGGAGAAAAAAAGTAAAAACCCACAGTATTCTTGCCTGGAGAATCCTATGAACAGAGGAGCCTAACAGGCTACAGTCCATGGGTTTGCAAAGAGTCAGAAATGACTGAATAGACTTAGCACAGCACCTTGGAAAAGATGTTCCAACATGCCCTGAACCACTACACCCCTAAAAACTTCACTAATGTGGAAGCCCCTTAAGTATTTGTATTTTTACTAACAGTTTGCATTTCAAAGTATTCCTCAAAACTGAAGAAGAAACACTTCCATATTATTCCGTGAAACCGCCATTGTCCTGATTTCAACCAATAGAAAAAGAATCCACAGGGGAAAAAAAAAAGAATATTATGGGTCAATGTTCTTGATGAACATAGATGCAAAAATCCTTGACAAAATATTAGCAGGTCAAATTCAACAGTATAGCAAAAGGATCCTACACCATAGTCACCTAGGATTTATCCTAGATATTCAAAGATACTTTAATGTCCACAGTCGATCCATGTGATACAGCACACGAATAAAACTAAGTATAAAAATTATATAGTAATCTCAATACAGGCAGAAAGAGCTTTTCACAATACAAAACATCCATTTATAATTTTTAAAACTCTCAACAAGGTAAGTGTAAAGGGAATATACCTCAACATAACATCTATTGACATATATATATGTAAATACCTATTGATATATGTGTGTGTATATACATATACATACATATACACACACACACACACACACACACACACACACACACACATATATATATGACAAACCCACAGCTAACATCATACTCAATAGCAAAAGGCTGAAAGCATTTATTCTAAGGTCATAAACAACACAAGAATTCCCACTCTCACCACTTTTATTCAATACAGTATTGGAAGTCCTAATCAGAGCATTCAGACAAGAAAAATAAGAAGCATCCAAATGGAAAGGGAAGAAGTAAAGCTGTCACTATTTGTAAATTACATGGAATTTGCGTAAAAACCATAAAGATTCCACCAAAAAACTCTTAGTACTAATACGTGAATTCAGGAAATTCATAGTCTATAAAATTAATATACACAAAACTATAGTGTATATACTATATAGTATATACAATAATGATGATCTATCAGAAAGAAATTAAGAAATTAACCTCATTTACAATTGTATCTTAAGAGAATAAAATACCCAGCAATAAACTTAACCAAGGAAGTAAAAGACTTGTACTCTGAAAATTATAAGACACTGATGAAAGGAATTGAAGATCACACAAATAAAAGATATACTACACTTATATATTGTAAGAATTACTACTGTTAATATGTTCATACTACCCAAAGCAATCAACAAATTAAATGCAATCCCTATCAGGATACCAAGGCATTTTTCACAGAACTAGAAAAAGTACTCCAAAAATTTGTATGGAACCACAAAAGGCCCCAAGAGAAAAAGACGTCTTGAGAAACAACAAAACTGAAGACATCATACTCCCTATTTCCAACTATTCTACAAAGCTCTATTCATCCAAACATTGTGATACTATCCAAAAATAGCCACATAGATCAATGGAACAGACTACAGAACCCAAAAATAAGTCCACACCTATATAGTCAATTAATCTACAACAAAAGAGGAAAAAACATAAAATGAAGAAGACAGCTTCTTCCATAAAAAGTCTGGGAAAACAGGACAGCTACTTCTAAAAAATCAGACTAGGCCATTTTCTCACATTGTATATAAGATAAACTCAGAATGAATTAAGGACCTAAGGTAACACTTGAAGCACTTGATACTTGAAACCATAACACCCGTAGAAGAAAACATTAGCAGTAAGCTCCTTGACATTGATCTTAGCAGTATTTTGGGGGGTCTGTTTCCTCCTGCAAGGGTAACAGGAGCAAAAATAAACAGACAGGACTGCATCAGCTAAAAACCTTTTCCACAGTAAAGGAAACCAACAACAAAATGAAAAAACAAACTACTGAATGAAAGAAGATATTCCCAAATAATATGTGCAACAGGGGTTTACTATCTAAATTATATACAGAAAACATCCAATATTTTAAAAACAAGTCTAATTAAAAAACAGCCAGAGTACCTAAATAGACATTTCTCCAAAGAAGATACAGAGATCACAAAGAGACAGATGGAAAGATGCTCAACATTACTAATTATTTGGGAAATTATTGACATTTCTCCCAGCAATCTTGATTCCAGCTTAGGCTTCCTCCAGCCTGAATTATTTAGCCTAATGCATCCTGAATATTATTTTAAGGTATAATATTTATATTAAATTTATGTTAAATATAATTAATATTTTTAAATAATTAATGAGATACACTACATTCTTTTATCCATACTAAATCTTTGAAATCCACTGGGCAGTTGACACTTACAATAACTCTAAGTTAGACTAACCCCATTTCCTGGCTTCAGTGGCCAATTGTGCTATGTAGACAGTGCAACTATTGAACATTTCCACTGTGTCAGAACGTGCTGATGGACAGAGGCAACCCAGAACATTAGCAGAGTAAGGCTGACTGCCAGCCCTCATCCTAAAGCAACACACAACTGCCTGCAAATACCACTACATTACCCCTAATATCACAACACTACTGAAAAAATGACAGCCTGCTAATAGGTTTTCTGCTAAAATTTGCTATTAATTGCTTCATTCCTTTCCATTCCTTTGGCAAACTAGCCCATGATTTTATCGGAGCCCTCTGGGGCTACATATTTCTTAATACATAGCAGAAACATCATTTCAACATAAAAAGGTAACTTGTAGCCTGCTAGTATTTGTGGAAGTCTATCAGAAGTAACTAGAAGTGTCAAATCAGAGAAATTAACTAAGAAGAGCAATCTAAGCTATTTTAAGCTTCAATGTCCAACCTTGATATGATTTGGACTTTTTTTTACCATGAAATATATTATTTAGTGGAAAATAAGATTTTAATAAATAAAAGTTTAATAGAAGGCGAGGTCTTGGGAGGGAAAGAAATTTAATGAATTTTGAGAAAATAGAGTTAAAAGGTAGACTGAATGGGAGATAGAAGACCTGCTGTACGGCACCTGGTGTTAGAGTGATGCCCCTTGGATCACAATATTGGATTAGATACAAATGAAGAGATGAAAGCAACCTTCCCTGGTCTTGCTCTAGCCGTAAGGCTAGAGTCCTGCTTGGCTGCAACACTATTTCTCTGGGGTACTCTACAGAGGTAAGACTGCAGCATTGTCAGCTGTCCCAACTCAGTCACTCCCCCATCCAACGCTAAAACATTCAGATCTTCTCTGGTTCTCCCATTTGGATGCTATGTGTGAAATTGCATGAGTTGCCGAGACACCCTAACTATCTAAGTGGTTCCTCAGTTACCACCTTCTCCTGTAAGATAACTGGAGATGATCACAAAGGTTCTTCAAAGATGAGATCTGTCATCTGTCCCCACAACTGAATATCCTGCAAGTAGAAGCATCTGAGCAGTCACTGAAGGCAGGGAGAGAGAGAGCTGGGATGCCAGCACTTTTCCTGAGAAGCTTTAGGAGAGCAGCTTCCACACACCGAATGTGGATCCAAGGCTCTGAAAGGAACCAGCCCATACATAGGAAGGTCATTGAATCCAGCTTCTAGCTTGTTCATAGTGTCATAACAAATACACACACATGTATCTGGTCTCCCCTGGTCTCATCTAGGGAAGACGTTTCCTGACTTTTTCCTGAATTATCTTTAAACATACTTTGTGTCCTATGTAGCCACCACTTCTTAGAGATGACTCATTGTACCAAAAATGCAAATCATAGAAAGTATGAATAGGCACATTCATGACAAGGCATCCATTCTACAATCTACAACTCTACATCTAAAATCTACAACAAATTTTACACTTAAGGCATTGAGAGAAAGACAAGACGTTTGTCATTCAGAGGACAAAGAGACAGGACCCTTCCTGAAATCTACAGACTCAGAGCCAGGGTTAGGAAGTAGGACCTGGAAAGAATCCTGTTTACAACCGTTGAGACAGGATTTATCCTAGTGATCCAGGAATCTTCTAAAGTTAAAAAAACAAGGGGAAACAGTCCAACTCATTCTTTCCTCTCTCTCTCTCCTCATTTAAAGTTCCGGCTAAGCATTGACCAAAAAAAAAAAAAAAAGAAAGAAACCAACCAAGATACCAATGAAGGAAATCTCCAGGATGTGATGATTTTGGCCGAGTGAACCTGCTTCAATAGCTCCAGGGTCTTCCTGATAGAGTTAAAAAGAACAATCCTGGTCCCTGGGTACACAGTCCTCCTGAGCACCAAATTCTCCAGCATGCATCCTCATCAGCGTCTTTTCAAGACCAGCCCTGCTGCCCTGTTCCTGGTTCTCTGCCTGACACTGGGGACTGGTGCAGCTCAAGAGCCAATGTAAGTCATCTGTTTTTCCTCTCTACATAATTTCTTCCAGAGAGGACACTTCCGCCAACCCAGAAACCCACATTAAGCACCTACAGATTACTCTCCTGCCCCAAGAGGACCCAGCCTGAGAGTCCTCACTATTTGAGTCTCTTTGGTCACACTCTCTCCCTGTTCAGAACCTGTTGGAGAGATTACTGAATCCATGACCTACACCTACTTTGTGTTTTAACTCAGTTTTCTATCATTTTATCATCCTCATCCTTTTCCCATAAAAGAAAAGAAAAGCCCGGGATGTTAGCACTGTGGTCAGCTCTGGGATAAGCTTTGAATAAGATGCCTGAACTGCACAAGAGTGGCCATGACCCTGGTCACAACCCAGTAGAAAGTGTTGTGCTGACCCAGCAACTCAGATGATCCCTGTGACTTCATCGGCAACAGTGCTCACCATAGCTGTGTGCCATGCCAAGGGGATCCTTAAGAGTGGTGGCACTGATGCTTCTGTGTCTTCCCATGCCTTTCATCCCCCTGCTCTCTCTGCCTGTCCTGCTTCCATATTCCTCAAAGGTTACCTCAATCCTGGACTTGTTGCTTTTTTTTTTTTAACTGGAACAGCTCAGAACTTGGCTTTAATGCCCTAAAGTTTATCCCAGAATCAAAATTGCCATGTGCTGTTGGTGAGGATGTGAACTGAATACAGCCCTTTGGACAGAATATGTCTGTATCAAAAATTTTAATATATACATTTTACCTAGCCATTCCACTTATTGGAGAAGGAAATGGCAACCCACTCCAGTAGTCTTGCCTGGAGAATCCCATGGACAGAGGAGTCTGGTGGGCTATAGTCCATGGGGTCACAAAGAGTCAGATACAACTGAGTATGCACACATTCCACTTATAGAGATGTGTCCTAAAGAGATATTCACAGAAGTGTATGAAGATACAGATGAGTGAGGATGTTTGCAGCATTGTTTATGATTATAAACAAAAATGGAAAACAACAGAAATGTCAACCTGGGCTTTTACCAGAGTTTTTTTCTGCCTCTTTTGTCATATCTAGACAGAAGGTAATCTCAATAACCCTGACAGTTGAACAACTGGAAACTCAGAAGACTATAATGTAATACTCGGGGTTAGAAGTCATGTGCCTGTATACTTAGTGGTAAGTGAAGAATTGGCAGTTATGGTAAGTGGGGAGAGAGAAGAGAAATACCCTCATAAACAATTTTTGTGGTCACTAATGATATGAAGTGAAATAGCTTCTTACAAAGAGTCACCTACAAATGCTTTTGCATTCATTAGCCATGATTCTGAGAGCAACCCTGTTAGGAATGCATACATCATTATTTCCATTTTAAAAATGAAGAAGTTCCAACTAATAAAAATAAACGGAAAAAAAAAAATTTTTAAATGAAGACGTGTTGGTACAGATGGAATAGTCAAATTCAAAAATTGAAAACGCACATTAGTAGGTGCTAGGTGCTAGGGAGTGAGTGCCAAGTGGGGATATTAGTGTTTAATGGGGACAAAGTTTCCAGATTAGGAAAGTGAAAAATTCAGGAGATGGATGACGGTGAGATCTACACAACAGTATGAATGTACTTAATGCCACTGAACTGTACAGTTAAATATGGTTAAGATAGTATGCTTTATATTATGTAACTTTTACCTCAACAACAACACAAATCTTTTAGTGATGGTATGCAGATGATAAATGAGGAGAGATTTTTTAACCATGTTAGGACTCTTCATTTCACCAGGGGAGGGAAGGAGCGGAGAGGAGAGAGGAAAGTAACATAAAGGGGATAATAACAAAGATGGATGAGACTGATGACAATGACAAAGGAGCTTTGCTGACTTGTGCCATCCACACACTTGTCTCAGGCCAATGCGGTGATGAGGTTGAGTCAGGGAGGCGCCACTCAATAGGCCATGGTGGACGGGAGAGAAGCTGCAAGAATGGGGTGATGATGTCCTCCTCACAGATGGGAGACTTACTGTCACATTAGAATTGGCTTTCCCATTTCCTACCTTTTTTACTTTTCCCCCCTGTCTTCACTGACTCTTCAGATCCCTTATACCTCCTGCTTCAGGATATTTGATAATAATCCCTGATCCTTCAAGGCCTCCTTGGGGTTTTTAGAAAACAGATGCAAACAGAGGAGAAAGTTGCAGAGCTACCAAATCCCTAAGAGGACTACATACAGTATCTGATATTTATTCAAATGTAAATGATGCCAGAAATGCTTCTGAGCATCCCCTTTCCAGAGATCTTCTCTGTTGCCATTTCAGGAAGATCCTGGAACTTTCTCTTCTCAGGTCTGACCTCAGCAGACTGCTTCTCCCATCTGAGAATCTCAGTCATTTCTTTCATCTTCTATCTGATTATAATTCTATTGGGGGAGGAGAACAGGCACGAGGTACTAGGTGGCCAAATGCTTTCAGACTCCAAGGTCTTTATCTGTACAACACACAGTACTTTACCTTCACAAAGCTCTGTATCATACACAACACACAAGCCTTATGAACTCATACAGACTAGAGAAGTAAGTATCAATATCTTAATCTCATGATACCTCATAGAATGAGAAGCTCATAAGGATAAATGCCACTTCACAAAGCTGAAAAGCAGGATCAGTTCAGTTCAGTTCAGTCGCTCAGTTGTGCCTGACTCCTTGCGACCCCGTGAACCGCAGCACGCCAGGCCTCCCTGTCCATCACCAACTCCCAGAGTCTACCCAAACTCATGTCCATCGAGTCAGTGATGCCATCCAACCATCTCATCCTCTGTCATCCCATTCTCCTCCTGCCCCCAATCCCTCCCAGCATCAGGGTCTTTTCCAACAAGTCAACTCTTCTCATGAGGTGGCCAAAGTATTGGAGTTTCAGCTTCAGCATCAGTCCTTCCACTGAACACCCAGGACTGATCTGTTTTAGGATGGACTGGTTGGATCTCCTTGCAGTCCAAGGGACTCTCAAGACTTCTCCAACACCACAGTTCAAAAGCATCAATTTTTCGGTGCTCAGTTTTCCTCATAGTCCAACTGACATCCATACATGACCACTGGAAAAACCATAGCCTTGACTACACAGGATACATGGGAAAATAAACCCTGTTTTATTTGTTTGGGGGATTTTTTCCCACCACATCGGAGAAGACAAACTGATGATTCCAATCTCCATGACCCTCTTGGTTCACAGACAAGTTCACTTAAGTCATTCCCTATCTACTTTAGTTGGGGAGCTTCAGAACTAAACACAGTCCAATCACGGTGACCTCTTGGCACTTCCATTGCTCAAAATAAAGAACATTTCATGTATAACTTGATGAGTCAAATGCTAGGCAGACCCTCACAGGTGTGTTTACCCCCACATCAGTAGACAGAACCAAGTGTGGTATCTGACAGCACCTTCAAACCCAACTTCAAAACGTTGTCATACAGCAAGCAAAGAAATTATCTTTTTCACAACACAAGTCAAAGTTGAAAATGGCAGATAAGGAGAATTACCAATAGATTGGCTAAAGTCAAGTCTGGCCCTGAATGTGTTTAGAGTGATGTCTGGGAGAAACCCCTGGTACTGCCTCTGTGTTGGGCTAAAACATCCTTCTTTGGTGTAATATTTACTCCAGGGCTGCCTCAACCTGATAGACTCTGTTTAACTGTTTCCTATCCTCTTTTCCTCAGGTTAAAATCACACTTGGGGCATCCAACAACATCATTTTCCCTTATTGTAATTTTACTTACACAGGATGTCTGTGTCCTCACTGTTCAAGAAATTTCTTCTGGGAAATACAAGGACTTGGTAAGTGAAGAAACTTCCTGCCTGAGCGTTAGTGTCAAATAAGGGGGAACACAAAGAGGATAAAGTGAAAAGGGGAAATCAAGACATGGCCGAAAGCAAAAGAAATAAGGGAGTGAAGTAAGAATGAAACACAAGACACACAGGCAGTGTGGGCAAGGGCTCAGTGAGGAGGGAGTAAGCGCGCTGGAAACAGCTGAATCTTGTGTGGGAGCCTGAGAAATGGGGCTGAGGGTCAGACACAGTAAAAGGCAGGGTAGAACGGTTTGTTGGTGAGGTCCAGTTGTCTGATAGAGCCTTGCTTCTTCTCTATAGGTAATGGGATACTAATAGGGAAGGCTGAAGTCGTGTCAGAGGAGAATATATGCCATGAGGTGGAAATCTCTACCCCTGTTTACAAAGTTGATATCAAGCGTGAAATCGTCATAACACTCTGATCTGAAGTCTGCTAACTCTGAGGTTGTGAGCATCATATGGAGTAGAAAATAAACTTCCTACTGGCTTCTCGCTGTGCTGTCTGTGTTGATTCCCCGAATCTTAGTACTGTGTCTGCTCAGACACCACAGGGTCCTAATGAACCAGTATTTTAACCTACTCAGGGATGATACATGACCATTCATTCTCTAGCAGATGAGAAGAAAGAGAAGACAGGAATTACTCTCACCATTTAACATGGGAGAGGAATGGTCCAAAGAGAAAACTCCCTAGATCTAAAATTAAGGGCAAAATTCAGCAGTGGTCCCCAACCTTATTAGAACCAGGGACCACTTTCCTGGAAGGCAATTTTTCCATGGACCTGGGGATGGGGACGGTTTGGGCGTGATCCAAGCACATTATATTTATTGTGCACTTTATTTCTATTATTATATCATCAGCTCCACCTCAGATGATCAGATATTAGATCCCAGAGATTGGGAAGCCCTGGGTTAGGTTTCCCT